CATGGTGGATGGTTTGATGATAGTAACTTCATTGAGTATCAAGGGACAGTTGTTCAGCTTGAAGGTGAGTATTGTCACAAATGTTCCTTACCAATCCTCACTGAAAATAGTTGGGCATAAACAACTACACTGACAAAGTAGGATAGCTGAGAGCCATAAAAATACAAGTAAAATAGGGTATTTTTCAGTAACGATGATTATTAGTTAATAGATTTATTTAATAAATGTATATTGGTCCAATTGGTGTATTTAACCTGAAAGCATTTGGTACCTAAGCTAGTACTAGTCGCTGTCATAAAAATAAGATGCCTATGTAATTATCTGCAGTTTGCTGAAGACCATTATTATCAATGTATATGATGTGCCATCAATAAAGCTTTACACTCTCAGCCTGAAGCCTTTATTCACATCATCCAGTCTCTAGAAGCTGTTGTATGTGAAGGTCAAATAGAGAGTTGGTCAGCACTTGCTGAATTCGGGCTATTTGAATCTAATTGGGCTGTGGCAAAGTGTTCTTATTTCAGCGTTGTTTGTATCTCTGAGTCACTTTTGTACAGTTTCTGTCAGTTGCAATTGTTGAAAAATTCATATTTGGCTCATTGGTAGTGTTGATGATATTGGAATTTTTTTGAACAATCCTTGGTGCTGTTGAGCAGAGCTAAAAGTGTGTTTGCGGAGGGAGAAAAAGACATCTTAAATCTTTTTCTACATGTTCAAGTTAAGTTTGAGGAAGAAGGGTGGAAGAATTGTAATAACATTTGAACAAAAAACATAAAAAGACAATGAAGGGAAGTGAGAGGAGGAAGAGAAAGTAACTGAATGCACTAGCTGCACTTGCCTATTAACCCATATGCTGACCTCCACTGGTTTCCTGTTCCCATTCCGAGACACAACTTAATTTGTACTCATCGACAAATCATACTTCCTACTTTCTATATCCTACCATCCATGCGTTTGAGCATCTTTCTCCAATCCATTCAGACCGCTTAAGATCAAATCTGATTTTTGAGCTAACTTCATTAAACCTGTCGCGCTCCATATTTCTTCTTCGTTAGGTAAAGTCTATCAATATTAGCTTTTAAATTACAGTTGATGTAATAACAATTGATGTTTGTTATCTTTGTCTTACTTTCAGAATGCTGTCCCAAATGTCTCCTCATTCTCTTTCATAGCTGCATAATCACTTTATCGACTCACCTTTTGATTATCTCTAGATAAACTCCATTCCCTTCCTCTTCTGTGAAGTGCCTTGGGACTATGTTAAACATATTTTGTTCGTTCAAATTGATTTTTGAGTCTGAAGGAGAGTAAATCTGGTAGCAAAATCAAAGCACAGGAGGGATCTTTAAGGTTTTGTGCGGCAGCAAGGAAGGACAAAGTGACTTTGTTTCCATGCGCACTCTGTAAATGTTTGCTTGTATCCAAAATTATCAGTTGTACGTCCCTAGATTTAAATCTAGTGAGAGATGATATTTTGTTGGAATTTTAAATCCTTCAATTTAAAATGGTTATTTTGTTTTATGAGAAATCGAGTTTCTTTTACAAGTGATTGTGTGCAACTTTTACCTACTGTTGCATGCCTGTCCCCGTGTGAAAAAAAGGAGGAACTAGCAATTATTTAATGCCTTTCACAATCTGTGGAGGACCCAAAGCACTATTGCAATCATTGTTTTCTAGCCAAACACTGCAGCCAGTTTTACAGCAAGATTGGTTAATCAGTTGAAAACTTTTGGTGGACTTGTCAGAGGCTAGCTGGTAGCTAAGACCATACTCCTCTAGTGTTGTGAGATCTTTAATATCCATCTGATTAGGTGAATTCTCAAAATTAGGTGAACTGCAAAATACAGATCCCTTTATGATCCTGGAGGATAAGCAGATCAGCACCGAGCCTTGAAAGGTGTACATGGCTTTGGTTACTTTTCTGTCAGGTTCATTAATGTGTAGATAAAGATTAAATTAGATTAAAGAGTCATACCTGATAGTTGACATATATAATTGCTCCTTTCTATGTAATCGGCATCAGTAATGCAGTTGCACTGATGTTGCAAAATGGGAACTGTGTACAGGTCTGTAATGATGCAATAGATAAACACAAATTGAATTACGTTGCTCAACCTTCTAGTTCTTTGTCATTCAACACAATAAGTTGCAATTAATTATAGTTACTGTTAACTTCCTCTACATTCTTCTCTCCAGTCTGTTGTGTTTTTTAAAATATAGACAAAGGTGGAGATTTAGTGGGGGAACAGGCCACAAGAAGTATTGAGACTGAAGCATAGGACAGCTGGATTAAAAGACACACGGGGGACTCGTGTGTAAATTACTATCCCTGCTGATTTATTTTTGGTCCTTCAACTTGTTAGCTCAATTACTCCTGGGAGCCAGTGCTTGGCCATGTTCATTATAATATGTTTAGAAATGGATAGAAGTTAATTCTTCCATTATTTGAGTTTACAAATGGTCAGATAGTTAAAGCTGTGATGTGAATAAAATCTGATTTGAATCACTGTCAATGAGGTGTATTTTTGAAGTTATTGTATTGCTTAGGAGTGTTTTCAAGTTTGAAGTATAGTATCTGATTTAGGCTGCTCTGCTCTACCTCCTACTAGTCATAGAATTGTAGAATCCCTACAGTGTGGAAGCAGGCCATTTGAGTCCACACCGACCCTCCAAAGAGCATCCTGCTCAGACCCAACCGCCCTACCCTATCTCTGTAACCCTGTATATCCCATTGGCTAATCCATTTAATCTATACATCCCTGGACACTCTGGACAATTTAGTATAGTCAGTCCGCCTAAATTGAATATCTTCTGCTAATCGTCTTAAATTGTTGTTCTCTCTTCTCAATTTTTAGCTTCAGCTCTCTATCCAAATAACTGATGCTTGCCAT